AGCAGCCGGAGCTCAAACTGACGCCCATATGGGATGCCGACGTTGCAGGCTGGGGCTTTAACCCACTGCACCACAGCGCCGGCCCCAAAACCGAGTATTTCTGATCTCATGGCTTGTGTTGTTAACCGCCATCTGAATGAGTGAGTCGGTGTGGGTTAATGTCAGGACTCTCGCCTGGTGCTTTGCTTGCCTTCATGGTGGACGGCACTACATTCCATAGCCACAGGTTTCAGTGAGTGGGGTTCCGATTAGCTAAGATGTTGGTTGCCTTTGTTTTAGCTGTTAGTCTGGATCTAAGGAAAATACCCTCCACAGAATGCATTTGGAACTCATTTTCTGGGGCAGGAGCTGTGGCACAGCAGATCAGAGCACTGCTTGTGACATCTGCATCCCACATGGGAGTGGTGGTTCAAGTTCCTGGCTACTGTGCCTTTTTTTTTTTTTTTTAAGATTTTATTCAGTTACTTGAGAGGCAGAGTTACAGAGAGAGGGAGAGACAGAGAGAAAGATCTTCCACCTGCTGGTTCACTCCCCAAATGGCCACAACAGCGGGAGCTGAGCCGATCTGAAGCCAGGAGCTTCTTCCAGGTCTCCCACGTGGGTGCAGGGGCCCAAGGACTTGGGCCATCTTCCACTGCTTTCCCAGGCCATAGCAGAGAGCTGAATCAGAAGGGCAGCCAGGACGTGAACTGGCGCCCATATAGGATGCTGACGCCACAGTGCTGGCTCCCTCCTGGTGCTTCTGATCCAGCTTCCTGATAATGCACCCTGGGAGGCAACAGATCATGGCTCAAGTGCCTGGGTCCCTGCCACCCATGTGGGAGACCCAGATGGAGGGCCAGGCTCTTGGCTTCAGCCTGGCCCAGACCTGACTGTTGAGAGTGTTTTGGGAGTGAACCAGTGATTGAAGGGTCTTCTTCTCTCTCTACCCCCTTCTCTCTGTCACTCTGCCTTTCAAGTAGTTAAAAATAAACAAACATTTAAAAATAAGTCATTTTCTGGATCTCTGTAGAACTCTATAGAAATCATTTATAAAGTTTTCTAATCCAGAGATATATGACTGCATTTGAAAAGTGTTTGTTTTTTCGCCTGGCTTAGATTGCTTTCTTTAGAGCGTCCCATCCATCAGAACACAATGAATGGGAATTGGCTGTGTATGGAATCCTGAGGACCTGTAGTATTTGGAAGCAGAATGCCGGTGGAAAAGCTCTTTAAGGCCTGTTTTCTCGATCAGTAGATTTCGGAGTAGCATCTACTTTAAATGCTGGCTGTGATGATTATTAGAGACGTCTAAAAATTAATTGCCTGGCAAAGCATTATGTTCTCAGTGAGCATCGATTTCTTTTTCCACCTCATGTTTTGAAGGGTCACACTGTTTCATCCTGGCTTAAAACTGAAAGTGATCCTCGCAACCTGTATGTGAAACTTTGTGCACTGGCCTGCCCATGTGCATTTTGGTGGGAAGATACCCCTGGCTTTCAACAGATTTCAAAGAAATCCAGATTTCAAAGATGACTCAGAACCACAGAATGTTCTTCACTCATTCTGCAGTATTTACTGACTACCTACCGTGGGTCAAGTGCTTTGCACAGATAAACTCTGTCCTAAACATGCCGTGTTTTGTGAGTCTCTGTGTTAGCACACTAGTGACATACATGTATGTAGATTACCCATCAGAGAGAAAGATTGGCATAGGAGGCAAAAACAGACGAGCCCCGGCCAGCTGGGATGCAGATGAAAGTGATACCACGTCAACGGAGCCAAGGCTCGGCATCAAGGAAGTAAACCCTGTGATGTTCACAGCGGACTCATGGCTGGTCACTCTACTGCTCTGTGTAATTGAGCAGGCTCTGTTGTGCACACAGGTGCCAGCCAACAGGTGAGGGCTGAAGGTGGTAGCAGAGGGTTCGAGCGAGGGGTTGGAGATAAAATACAGCTCAATTCCCACCGCCCCTCCTGGCTGGGGGCCTCAGGATTGCCCACTAAGAGATGGCAATTTTTCTTATTTTTTTAAGATTTATTTATTTATTTGAAAGGCAGAGTTACACACACACACACACACACACACAGAGCAGTAGCCGGCTACTTCCATCCGCTGGTTCACTCCCCAGTTGGCCGCAACGGCCAGAGCTGTGCTGATCTGAAGCCAGGAGCCAGCAGCTTCCTCCTGGTCTCCCACGCAGGTGTAGGAGCCCAAGGACTTGGGCCATCTTCTACTGTTTTCCCAGGCCATAGCAGAGAGCTGGATTGGAAGTGGAGCAGCCAGGCCTCGAACCGGCGCCAATTTAGGATGCCGGCACTGCAGGTGACAACTTTACCTGCTATGCCACAGCACCGGCCCTGGCAATTTTTCTTATTTGCCCAAACTGCCAGCTCAGTGTGTTGCTATGGCAAAGAGTAAACTTCTTTTTTTTTTTTTCCTTTGGGAGTTGAGCTATTAAACTTTAAAGTGGATCAACTCTAGTCCTGAAAAAAAAAAATTCTCTTTGCTCAATTGATCTCTTAGAGGCCAGGATCAAGATAAAGGCTGGGTCACTGCGTCAATAATGGTTTAAGAAGAGGGCAGGTGTGTTTCGGCCTCCTGACCTCCCAGGCACTTAGCGAGCTGAGCTGGGAAAGTCTCTAAGCCGCAGGGAAACTGGCTCTTGGGTGCCCCCACCCTTTGTAGATGATGACATGGGGGTAGGGGGGAGGTGGCTTTTTCACAGTTTCATAGCCTTAGGATAGGGACGGCTACTGCTCATCAGTAAAGCAACTGGAGCACAGATGGTTAAGGAAGACGCGTTCCAGATGACATTTCATTGCTATGAGCACTGCGCAATGGGCCAGGGCCCCTTTGCAGCCGACACCATTTCAGCCGACCTTGTCAGCCAAGACTGGCTCCACCTGCCCCTTAGTGTCTCTGGGCCAGAGCCGGTGTGTATTTATTCTTCTGAGTCTTGCACTTTGCTCTTTTATTTTTACTGGCCCTGCACTTGTGTTTGTTCTTGGAGCTCCCTTCATGCATATTGCAGGAGGCCCCATGTTTACCTTGAGCCTGGGACTAAATATAACCGCTGCTATCGCCAGAGGCATCCATACTTGTCAGCCCTTTCTCAGTGTTTGCAGACTCCGCCCCTGGATGGTGGCAGGCACAGGGCAGGCCCCAGCACTGCCTTCCCTGGGAGTCATGGAGACTTTCACTGAAAACAGGGCACTCACTCAGGATGAAATCAGTTCTCATCACAGGCTACACTTAAATGTTCCCTGGGTGTTCCTGGCAAAAGCCCTGGTCTCTACATTATAGGTGGCAAGCCCAAGGAGGGGTGTATTTAGGGGCCCTCTTGGCCACTTATCATCATGGTGGGTGCCCCTCCTCCACACTCCATCCCCATCCTGGGGGGAAGGGGAAGGGGACTGGAGAGTGTTTGTGACATTTGTCACATCCTCACCTCCTCCAGGCCTTCTAAAGTGTCTCTGGAAGAGCCTACCTCGAGACTTTGCAGTGTGCCCCAGGCCTGAGAACGGTGGTCCCACATTACTGCTGCCACAAGGACAAGCTGCTGACGTCACCCCCTCCAGAAAGCTCTCCCTTACTCTCCTATCTACAGCGGTTACTGTGCTGATTAAAAGTTGCCAGTGCGGTTCATAAATTATTTTGTGGTTTTCATCTCATCAAAATGAGAACAAAAACTGCTCACGATATGAGCCCCTGACTTTTGCTTGCCTTCCCTGACCCTTCTGTGCAGAGCTGCGAGAACACTAGGCACTTGCCAGTTTCTGTCTCGAGAAAGGCTCAGGCTAGCACTCCTCCTTGCTGCTTCTCTAAGACCACACTGCAAGGCTGGAGGACCACAGATGAGAAGAGATGGCCGAGTGGCGGAAGGACCTCTTAGGCAAATAGACTCAGGGAGAGGGGAAAGCAGACACTGGCTCAGCCAGGCAGATCAACCTAGGCAGTGTGAGATAACAGAACTTGAAACCACATGGCTCTCACATCCTCCAAGTACATCTGAAATCAGATCCTTTAACATGTCTTCAGGGTCCACAGGCCAGAGATTCAGTCCTATTGAAGAATACTATATGGAGAATGGGTGTTTAGCCTGGCAATTAAGACGACTGCGTTCCACATTGGAGTGCCTGATTCATTACCCAGTTCCTACTCCTGACTCCAGCTTCCTGCTAGTGCAGCCCCTGGAAGGCAGCAGGTGATGGCTCAAGTAGTTGGAGTTCTGCCACCCACGTGGGAGACCTTGACTGAGTTTCCAGTTGTTAGCCCCAGCTTTTGTAGGTATTTCAGAAGTAAACCCCATCCCACCTCTCAAATGAAACAAAACAAAATAAAATACTATATGAAATGACATCATTTTCCAAACCAGTCTTTCTCCCTTCCTTCTAGCAGTTACGAGCGAAAAAGCTCTGGATTAACAGAACCAAGACATACTCCTAGTACTCAAAGAGCTTTTCCAAGGCGCTGTTAAGAAGGACTAAGGAAGTACTTAAGGATTCCTGGGGTGCTGCTGGGGGCTGACAGGGAAGCAGTCCAGACGGTGTCGGGAAGCAGAGGTCAAGCTTCAGTATAAATTCAGGCAGATGGGTGACTGTAGAGAGAGAAGAGAGGAAAACAGCAGGGGAAGGATTTTTTGGTTTGTTTGTTTGTGAGCTTGTTTTGGCTACGAGGACTTGAGAGTAGAAAAAGTGGAGAAGCCACTGAGAGGGAGAGAATGTGAGTCCATCAGGTAAACAGAGCCATGCTTCCTACCCTTCTCCGTGAGAATAGTTTGTGGTTGTTTGTCGTCCCCTAGATGGACAGCTAGTGAATTTAGTGGCCGGCCGAGTGGCTGGCTGCCCACTAAGTCTGTCCTCCATGTTTGTGTGAGCTGTAGCTGAGCACTGGAGGTAGCTCTTGCTCTTTGCCCCTGGTTCTGTGTCCACAGGGTCATTCTGCTGCCTTTGGAACTTGGAATGAGGACACAATGTCCAACACCGTTCATTCATTATTAGAACCCTTCTGGCCAGTGCGCATCTGAAACCTGCCGGCAGTGCTGGGGCTGGGGCTGGGTGCCGGCCAGCTGACTTTGACAGTCTCTCTGACCTTTTCTACCACACAGGAAATCTCAAGGGGCCTCTGGGGCCCAACGGGGGCTGTTCTCAAGGTGCAGCTGAGAACACAGGGAAGGGGCCCTTTCTACAATGAGGTGGGGCTGTGAGCTCAAGGTGGGGCCTCCTGATTTTCAATGATTTGCTGCTAGAACCGGAATTTCAGGGTTTTTGTGGCCTGGGTCTCTGCAGGTAGGTGCTAGGAAACTGGAATTACTACATTGTTCACTGCTGGAGATGATGGCTGTATCCACAGTGTGGAAGCTTTACCCAAGAACACAGAGCAGGATCTTCTCTCTGCTTCCTCAGCTGAACATAGGATAACTAGGCTGGACTTAAGATCAAAGCCCACATCTCCATTGGAAACAGGCAGTGATAAAGGTAATGGATTGAGATAAATTCTCAGCTTCTGTTAAAATTCAGATGGGAAGTTCAATTCACTTAATTCACTTTTCTCACCAACACGGTTTTTGTTATTTTACAGTCCATGTAAAATGAGATCACACGTGTTGGGTACGTAGACCAGGACCTGGTAGCTGTTCATCAAGGCTGACTGCCTTCCCTATTCCCATATGTGGGGAGCAACTGGGAGCAACTCGGACTAGACTAAGTTACTGGAATTAAGACTTATTCTATGCATCTGCTCTCCCACAATATGGCGCTGGGAGAGGAGAAAACAGCTTCCACGCAGCTGCCTCTTGCCAACTTGAGTGCTGACCTCCAGGAGCTGATCCTGCTCCTGATTGGAGGAGAGCAGCCTACTCGGCGTGTGGGCAGCCGAGTTGGGATTGGCGGAGGAGGACTATAAAGGAGGAGAGAGACGGCATGCACCAGGAACATCTAAGGGGAACACCTGAGCAGCCCCCGAGAGAGCCGGCCGGCGGTGTGCCGCTCCCCCGCGGAAGTGGGGAATGTGGCAGGGGGAACCGCCCTTCCACGGAGGTGGAAGGGTCGGTAGCCAACCCGGGAAGAACCAGCAGCAAACCCGGGGAGGGCCGAGCAGACGAAAGAACAGCGCAGGGTCCTGTGTCGTTCCTCCACGAAGACGGGGAGCGACACAATACTCACCCTTTCCCATAGAACAAAGTCTGAATTCCACACATTGGAAGCCTTGCACACGCTGGTCCCCTTGCTAGTGTTCAATAATACCTAGGCGCCCAGCAGGTGCCAGGCTGGGGAGCACAATAAGCAAAGTTCTTGCCCTCGTGGAATTGAGATTCTAGTGGGAAAAGAGAGTCATGAAACAAAACAAAAATGTATAGTGCCAGGTGTGAAAAGTTTTATGAAAAAAATACATTTGGATCAGGGGAGGGAGCATTTGCCTTACGTCTGTATTTCATACGTAGTCCCCAAGGCAGCCCCCTAGTAGAGCTGGGCGATAGTCCCACTGTCCTAAATAGCAGAAGCTCTCATAAAGGATGAATTGTGTGGATTCAGCTCCTTCTTTCACCAGAAAAGCCAACCCCACCCTTCTGACCCTCATGTTTCCCACCTATAGTTGCATTGTTACTGATCCAGCCCTCCATGCTTCTTACGTTGCTTTCTTTCCATGTGGCTCCAATTTCTGTGAATAGCATATGTCCAAGAATCTGTGAGTAGCATATATTTTTAAAATTAATTTATTTATTTGAAAGTCAGAATTACACACAGCAGAGAGGGGGAGAGAGAGAGAGAGGTCTTCTATCGGATGGTTTTACTCCCCATTTGGCCGCAACGGCCGGAGCTGTGCTGATCCGAAGCCAGGAGCCAGGAGCTTCTTGCGGGTCTCCCATGTGGGTGTAGGAGCCCAAGGACTTGGGCCATCTTCTACTGCTTTCCCAGGCCATAGCAGAGAGCTGGATAGGAAGAGGAGGAGCTGGGACTAGAACCAGCGCCCATATGGGATGCCGGCGCTTCAGGCCAGGGCGTTAACTCGCTGTGCCACAGTGCCAAGCCCGAGTAGCATATTTTCTTTATTTGCCTGAATGTATCTTGATTTTGTTGACACTCAGAAAATAATATTCCAGGCCGGCGCCGCGGCTCGCTAGACATCCTCCACCTTGCGGCGCCGGCACACCAGGTTCTAGTCCCGGTCGGGGCGCCAGATTCTGTGCCGGTTGCCCCTCTTCCAGGCCAGCTCTCTGCTGTGGCCAGGGAGTGCAGTGGAGGATGGCCCAAGTGCTTGGGCCCTGCACCCCATGGGAGACCAGGAGAAGTACCTGGCTCCTGGCTTCGGATCAGCGTGGTGCGTTGGCCGCAGCGCGCTGGCTGCGGTGGCCATTGGAGGGTGAACCAACGTCAAAGGAAGACCTTTCTCTCTGTCTCTCTCTCTCACTGTCCACTCTGCCTGTCAAAAAATAAAAAAGAAAAGAAAAGAAAAGAAAATAATATTCCAAAGTATGATGCTGAACAGGTGCTGAATACTTTGAAGGACACCGGGAGGGACCCAGAGTCAAAGTGTCTCACTTTCTCCTGCCCTCTTCCTTCTGTTCTTCTTAAGGCTGACTGTAAATTCCTCTCCCCTAGTGGGTCGTAGAGACTAGGAGTCCTCCCCCACTGTGGGTCCTAGGGACTAGGAGTCTCCCCGCCCCCTGCTACCATGGGTCGTAGAGACTAGGATTCCCGTCCCCCAGATCGGCCATCAAACTTAGAAATGTGACTCTAGCCTTTCCCTACACCTCTGGGTAAGGCTGGTCATACAGAACTCTCTGACCCACCTTTGCTGATTGTAGGCTTCTAAGACCCTCATTCCTGAGCAGCCCTGCCCTGTCCCAGGGAGGAAGGCATGCCACACAGAGAGGCCAAGAGGAATCTGAACACGCCAGTCTTGCTGAGTCTCTACCCCCCTTAAATCCCACCCTTTTGTCCAGTGGTAGTTCTACACAGTTGTCCATCCTTCACCCAACCTAAGCATGGAAAACAATTTCTGAGGCTCCTGTGTCACAGAAAGCTTCAATCTGTTGTGCCTTTCTCTTCTTCCTTTGTCTTTTGTTGCAGGAGTGCCTGCTGTTACCTTGCAGGTGAGGAGAGGTGTCACACCTCCTACCTCTAAGTTCCACCTCTACTTTTAATGGTTGATAGATTCCAGATTAAGATTGAAGTAGAAAGCCTTTTGTTAGCTAGTTCTTGTCCTTGTCTAATTTGTCTTTTTCTGTCTACTGCCTCCTCCCTACCCTTCCTCTGTATGTTCTTCTCTCTGTTTGACTACTTTAAGTTTTCTTTTAATTGTGTGTATGGTGTGTGTCATGTGTGTGTGTGTGTGTGTGTGTGTGTTTTCTTTAGCGTCACCACAGGAAGTCTTGGTTTAGATTCAGTTTTCTCTGCCCTGTCTGGAACTAATGTCTCTGTATCTTCAAATATGAATTCTTATTCAGTGTCCCCAAACTCCAACTAAATATTGGCTTTCCTATCTTCCATTGCTCCTAACACACTTTGATATTTTCTGTTTATCTCTCTGATGGCATAACGGGTCTTCTGTGCGTGTTTTATGATTACAGATAGCAGTGACCTATTTTATAATCCACATACTCTCTCCTCAGGGACACTGATCTGCTGTTTAACTGCTCATTGAATTTTAATCTCTCACTAAGTTTTAGGATTTTTTTTTTTTTTGCTTCTTTTCAAAGTGCTTTAATCTTTTCCTGAGGTTTTGTCTTTTGGAGATAGGCACTTCATCATCTCAAATGTAATTCTTCCACATTCTCTTTCAGACTGTCGTTCTAGTCTACCTAGTTCTTATTGATTCTGACTGATTCTTATTCTTGCACTTTGGAGCTACTTACGTATTGTGTAATTTTTATTTGTACTCTGATAAAGATTGTGCATGTGCATGACGTATATGTGTGTGTGTCCATGAGTGCTGTGTGCATGTGGGTGAAACATTTCTTGTGGCATAGGTCATGAGAGTTTCCTTCTTGTATTGTTGCCTCCATTACTGCAAAGGGCTCTTTAGAGATCACTGGCCTAAACCAGTTTTTTACATTAATTCCTGAGCTAAAGGGTTCCTAGACCATAGAGGCAAATGTGAATCCCTCATCCATGCAAAATATAGCCCTAAAGTTTCCGTTTTTCAAGGGAGACTTTACTTCCCCATCCAGAGTCCAGCTAGAAAAACTTTCTTATAAAACCTTGGTACCACCAGGAAAATTTTTGTAGTCCATGTTTTACCTGAGCAGGCAGCTCTATGAAGGTCCGAGCTTAATGCATGAGTTTCAGCACCCAGTTTCATATCTGTATCAAGCTCGGAGCCTTGTTGGGGTCCATGTGCAGCCTAAATGTTCACTTGAAGACCCAGTGTGTCCTGCGTCCTAAGCGTGGTCCCTGAGCCAGCATGAGGGCATTAGAAGTACAGAATCCCAGTCCCCAGCCCAGACCCTCGGAATCAGAGCTCTCGCCTGAACAGGATCCTCAGCAGGTTCACGTGCAACTCGGGTTTGAGAAGCACTGCCCAGATCACAGGGAGTGTCATCCTCCTTCCAACCTCCTCTCTGCTCACAAAGTTACCATGCCAGCTCATGGACCATCTGTGTTTTTCTTTTTCCTTTTTATAAGCTTAATTTCTGCATTTGGGGGACCTGCAAATGTGGTTTTCTTTCTTGCGAGCTCACCTATGCGTTTAAAGACATTTTTGTGACAGCGTTCTTGGTAAACCTTGATCAGTCCTGGAAATCCACAGTGAAGCTCCACAGTTAAGCTTTAAGTATTTAGCCCTTTCTTCTGCCAGCCACTGGCTTTGTGCTTTCTATACACACACTCAATAACTCTTTGTAGCTTTTGTATTCAAATGATGGCTTACAGGGCGCCAGATTCTATCCCGGTTGCCCCTCTTCCAGGCCAGCTCTCTGCTGTGGCCAGGGAGTGCAGTGGAGGATGGCCCAGGTGCTTGGGCCCTGCACCCCATGGGAGACCAGGAGAAGCACCTGGCTTCAGATCAGTGCAGTGGCCGGCCGCGGCGGCCATTGGAGGGTGAACCAACGGCAAAGGAAGACCTTTCTCTCTGTCTCTCTCTCACTGTCCACTCTGCCTGTCCAAAAAAAAAAAAAAAAAAAAGTGTACTTCTGAAAGTTGCATGATTATATGAGATAGTTTCTGCGTGGTTATTCCCTGTCCGTGATATTCTCTCTGTGTGTGTGTGTGTGTGTTTTTTTTTAACCTGTGACATCCTCTGATCTTACTACATACTTTTTACATAGCTGGGTCTGGTTTAAGGCTGAGCCTCTTCCCTTGTACCGTGGTCATTTCGGTAGTGAGATAGGAGAAATCAGCTGGGCTCTCAGGGTTACAGACACTGAACAGCAGAGCAGGGGCCAGTTTATCAGCAGTCACCTCTTGCAGAGTTCCTCTTGAGCAGTTGGTTATCTCAACCCAGGCCCAGTCAGCCGACAAGTGGAAGGCTGGGTAGCCAGAGCTGCTGTGGGACAGCTCCCTCGGGAATCTTGGCTGACATGAGCCGTTCACCTCTTAGTCGCACTGACGTGCCCTGAACTTTAGGGGCATCTCAAGGGGGAGAGGCACAGCCCTGACTATGGTGAGGTGATATCGTATGGTAATGAGGCACCCATAGCTAAAAGAATGGGGAGAAAGATCCCAAGCTGTTAGGCAAGAAAGCACCTGCTAGATAGGTAAGAGGACCGTGTGCAGAAATCCCGAGGGAACATGGAATAAAGAGAAGGATCTCCCAGCAGCGCTGACAGAGTAGCATCAGCCCTCCAGTCTCCTTCAGTGGCCACTGAATCTTCATCCCCTGCCTGCCTCGGCTTGCGGCAAACCGTTCTTTGTTTCAGAAAGAAGGAAGGAACTCCTTGCTGTCCCCTGTCTGGGGAATCCATCACACCAACCACAGAGACCTTGGCTTTGTCTACCATCTGGGGGGCTCCGCTTGGCATAAGAAACACATCTTCCTTGCATGGGGTGTGGAGGGATTTCTGCTTTCTTCCCACCTCCTGTAGGGTACATCTGGCCCACAGTCCCTGATCATTGTTTGTTCAAATGGTGAAAGAGGAAGCCAACAATAACCTCAGGCCTGGAGCAGCTCTGTTCATCCGCAGGGCAGGGTTCTGCTATGAAGCTTGCCTCCAGCCAGTGCACTCTGCCCTTTGTTTCCTGCGAAGCCAAGATCATTGCCTTTGAACGTTTGCTGACAGCACACCCAGTCCTGGACTCTCTTACCCCGTTGCTTTCCAAATCCTGCCCCTTCGGAAACGGCCTCTTTGCCTGGTGACTCTGTATCTGTGCTGAGGACTTGACACTTCAGGCGTGCCTTGCTTGTTCTGCTAGGAATTGCTTCTATGTCCTTCCGCTTTCTCGTCCCAAACATATTTTGAGTTCTTTGAAGGCAGAGGACTTATAGAATGCAGCCCAATGCAGGCATAGAGAAATTCTCGAGGATCTCAAGAAAGTCTGTGAGTCCAAATCCGTAATGTTGTAAGTGATTATATGTACAGTTATTCACCAGCTCCAAAGAGGCATTTCTACACGGTGCCCATGTTGTTGTAGAAATCATACGAAATAGAGTCTTAGGATATAGGATCGTCATGTTCTGATTTTCCCAAGAAGTGATCAGGCTTTGCCCTGTGTGGGGAGGTGTTATGCCTTACAAGTGCACCTTACACGGTGCCCCCTCCATCTTCCTATCACCCGCAGTCTTGTAGAATAACACGGTGTCACAGGTATTTTCCTCATTGTATGGACTTGGCAGCTCCGTTATCAGGTGCACACACGTGTGTAGTTGTTGGATCTTCCTGGTACGTTGACATCGTCATCATTATGAAACATCCCTTTCTGTCTATGGCAATAAGTTTTAATACCAATGCCAGCCTTATCTGATAATATTTTTGTTCATTCTCCTTATGCATATCATTTGCATAGTGTATCTTTTTCTATCCTTTCACTTTACATTGACTCCTCTTTTTCTGTATAAACTATTATTTTTTTTTTTGACAGGCAGAGTGGACAGTGAGAGAGAGAGACAGAGAGAGAAAGTACATTGACTTTCAATATATCTGGTTTTATCTGTACAATGCATATATTTAAGCCTTGATTTTTTTTTATCCATTATAACCATTTCTGCTTTTCCAATGGAATGCTTAGTCTATTAATATTTAATTTGATTATTGTTAGATTTAGGCTTGCCACTTTTTCTATTTGTCTTCCTTTTTTTTTTTTTTTTTTTTTTTTCCACTGTTCCATCCTTTCTGCACTCTTTTTAATTCAATGAACACTTTGGAGTTTTGTCTTATCTCCTAGCCCCTTAGTTACACCTCTTTGCGATTAGTTTTTAGGGGTCATCCTGAAGTACAGTCGTGTTTCACTTCGCAACAGAAGCACATTTTGAGAAACGCATCCTTTGGTAGCTTTGTCATTGTGAGAACATCGCAGTGTGCACTGTGAGTGGATAGGCCACTCTGTTGCTGTGGCCTCTGGACGCAATCAAAGCATGGCAAACACGAGATGTGTGAGGTTGTCACTGCCACACAGCATGCTGTGTAACAGTCAGCTTTTTTCCTTGCAAATACCAAGTGTACTCTAAAATACTGACAGTAGTATAAAGAAAAAAAAGTACAGTAAACATATAAGCCCATAACATTGTCATTTATTATCATTACCGAGTATTACATATGATTTATAATTGTGGGTGCTATATTTTTATACAGCTAGCAATGTCGTGGGCTTGCTTATACTAGCATCATCACACACTTGTGAGTAATGCATTGTGCTATGACATTATGATATTATGACATCACTAGTTGATAGGAAATTTTCAGTCCCCCCCCCACATAATCTTATGGCAGCACTGTCATATATGTGGTCCCTTTTTGACTGATGTGTTGCTGTGTGGCGAATGACTGTATGTATCCTGAATTCTGATTGACTGATTGGCATCACGTTTGTACTATTTCATGTGAAGAATAAAAATCTTGCACCTGTTCTTGTCCCGTTCCCTGGCCCATCCTTTGTGCCGTAGTTGTTATGCGTCTGTAGGAGATAGCTCACCTCCTCTGTCTTCTTAGTTCTTACGTAAGGCTCTTCACTGAGTCTGGGAATCCAATGAGCATGGGGCAGTGAATGAGAAAAGTGTGCACATTCTCAGTAAATGTTCCATGTGTGTGGGGACCTCCGCAAGGCAGTGAAGTCCAAAGAAATGACCACAGCTTAGCTACACAGAGGATAATTGACTTGTTAAGAGATGATAGGACAAAGGAATCTGGGAGAAAGGTAGTCAACTCTAGGGAAGTCACTGAGAGATATGCAGGAGGGTGTGAAGCTGCTGTAAGATAAGGATGAGTTTATTTGTTAAGGTTTATTATAGCCCCAATAAGGTGATAAAGGCTACCTTATCTCCCTGGTATGGGAAGACACCCCTCCCCGAAGAATGTTTATGGCCTGCTGCACGTAGGCGTAGAAAGCCAGCTGTGGCCCTTGCTGCTGTCACACTGCTGCCTCGTCTGGTGTTCTTAGCTTGAAATAAGTAGTGTATGAATTGGGCGTGTTTTGAGATGGCATGTCCTTAACTCCTTCATTTCTGTATATAGTATACCCATATACATTTATAAGCAGGAAAATGTTTTACTTTTGCTTTAAGCAATCATATTTTAAGAAGAAATTAAATGGGAATAAGTCTTTTATGTTTATCCGAAGGCTTAACCTTTGGGATGCTCTTCGTCCTCTGTGAAAGCCCAAGTTCCTGTGTTCTGCAGTAGAAGACCCACCTTCCCCTGAAATTCACGCTGAAATGGTCAACTCCAAGGCGTTGGCGCTGGGGCCCTGGGAGGGGATTAGGCCAAGAAGCTGTGGCTGTTGAGTGCCATTGGTTCCCTTACTCCTTCAGAGGCCTGACGGAGCTCAGAATATGCGCCCCCACCAGGCTTCACATCTGCAGGTGCCTTGACCTTGCATTTCCAGCGCTCAGAGCTATGAGAAATAAATTTCTGTTGATAAGCTGACCCGTTCATGGTATTTTGTTATAGTGGCACAGATAGACTACGACATCCTAGGGATTTACACCGTAGCGTTCCTTATAGTCCAGATCTTGGTGTCTGAAAAATGACTTAATTTCCCTTTTCATTCTTTTTTTTTTTTTTTTTTTTTTTTTTTTTTTTTAGATAGGCAGAGTGGACAGTGAGAGAGAGAGACAGAGAGAAAGGTCTTCCTTTACCGTTGGTTCACCCCCAATGGCTGCTGCAGTGGGCGCACCGTGCTGATCCGAAGCCAGGTGCCAGGTGCTTCCTCCTGGTCTCCCATGGGGTGCAGGGCCCAAGCACTTGGGCCATCCTCCACTGCACTCCCAGGCCACAGCAGAGAGCTGGCCTGGAAGAGGGGCAACCGGGACAGAATCCGGCATCCATATGGGATGCTGGCGCCACAGGCGGAGGATTAACCAAGTGACCACAGCACTGGGCCCTCATTGTCTCCTTTTAAAAACATTTCTTTCTTTTATATGAAAGGGGGAGAGAGACAGACAGAGAGAGAGAGAGAGAGAGAGAGAGAGAGAGAGTTCTTCCATCTGCTACTTTACTCCCAGAATACCTATAACAGGTGAGACTGGACCAGGCCGAAGTGGGAAGCCAGGAACTCTGTCCAGGTCTCCGTGGCAGGAACCTAACTTCTTGAGCCTTCTCTTGTTGTCTCCCTTCCTATATTAGCAGGAAGCTGGAATTTTTTTTATAGAAAGCTTTTATTTAATAAATATAAATTTTGGGCTGGCGCCATGGCTCACTTGGTTAATCCTCTGCCTGTGGTGCTGGCATCCATTATGGGCGCCGGGTTCTAGTGCCGGTTGATCCTCTTCTGGTCCAGCTCTCTGCTGTGGCCTGGGAAGGCAGTGCAGGATGGCCCAAGTGCTTGGGCCCTGCACCCGCATAGGAGACCAGGAGGAAGCACCTGGCTCCTGGCTTCGGATCGGCGCAGTGCTGGCTGTTGCGGCCATTTCGGGGGTGAACCAACGGAAGGAAGGAGCAACCGGGACAGAATCCGGTGCCCCGACCGGGACTAGAACCCAGTGTGCCGGCGCCGCTAGGTGGAGGATTAGCCTAGTGAGCTACGGTGCCGGCCATTTTTCATTAAGATTCATTTTTAATTATCTTTATATACAGAAGATCAACTTAGTATATACTAACTAAAGATTTCAACAGTTTGCACCCACAAGGACACACAAAGTATGAAGTACTGTTTGAAGACTAGTTTTACCACTAATTCCCATAGTACAACACATTAAGGACAGAGGTCCTATATAGGGAGCAAGTGCACAGTGACTCATGTTGTTGACTTAACAATTGACACTAATTTATGACGTTAGTGATCACCGGAGCGGAAGCTGGAATTGAAAACAGAGTCAGTACTTGAACCCAAGCATTCCAATATGGGATGTGGGCATTTCAAGTGGTCTTAGCCGCTGTGCCAAACACTTGCCCCCTCCATTCTTTCCATGGGAGAAGTGAGTGATAATTGACAGTGTTGTTCTCTGTAATCTTTCTCTAGCTCCTTGCAATAGTTTTTATTTGCATATGGGTTTATGTAATTGACTATAATATACCTAGATATGATTTTCTTTGTATACAGTATACTTGGGACTTGCTTGGTCTCTTAAATTTATATAAATCATTGTATTTTACCAAACTTTTTATACAATATACCTGGGATTTTCTTAGTTTATTATATTTATAACTTACTGTATTTTACCGAACTTGGAAAGTCTTCAGTCGTTATTCAATTTTTTTCTGATCCTTTCGCGCTCCCATTTCCTGCTGAGATTCCAATTACTCATACAGTAGCTCTTTGGATATCGTCCCACAAGCACTGAGGCTCAGTCGTCTGCTCTGTGGTCTTTTGAGATTGGGTCATTTCTGCTCAGCTGCTGTCAGGTCCACTGGCTCAGGGCTCTCTTTTGTCTCCCAGCTGTTAAGCACATGAGTGATTTTTTCATTTAGATCGTGTATATTTTATTTCTAGAAGTTCCCTTGATTTTTTTCTATAGTCCCTTTCATTGCTGACATTTTCCTTTTGTTCATTTATTATGAACATAGTTATAATAGATGTGTTAACCCATTTCTGCTAATTCCAACAACTGCATCATTTCAGGGTTTTTATCATTGATTTTTTTTAACTGAACAAGCATTATAATTTTCTGGTTCTTCATACCTTACGTAATTTTTAGATTATATAGCAGACATTGTGAATGATGCATTAGGAGTATAGAGTCTGGAGTCTAATGATTTCCTCAAAAAAAAAAAAAAGTGAGTTTTTGTCGTTGTTAATAGGTCATTGATTCGGCTGGATCCAAACCCAAGTTGTCTTCTTGCAGAGGTTGGTGTAGAAGCTGAAGTCTGGCCGGCGCCACGGCTCACTAGGCTAATCCTCCGCCTTTCTGCGCCGGCACACTGGGTTCTAGTCCCGGTTGGGGCGCCGGATTCTGTCCCGGTTGCCCCTCTTCCAGGCCAGCTCTCTGCTATGGCCCGGGAGTGCAGTGGAGGATGGCCCAAGTGCTTGGGCCCTGCACCCCATGGGAGACCAGGCTCCTGGCTCCTGCCTTCGGATCAGTGCGGTGCGCCGGCCGCGGCGGCCATTGGAGGGTGAACCAACGGCAAAGGAATACCTTTCTCTCTGTCTCTCTCTCTCACTGTCCACTCTGCCTGTAAAAAAAAAAAAAAAAAAAAAGCTGAAGTCTGTTCTTTAGCCCTGGGCTGTCTGGAGTCTGTCTCACACGTGCACAGTTCATGGGTCTGAGTTTTGGGCAGAACTTAAGTGCAGAATCTGGGGCCTCCCTTTCTAGATTTCTTTCTGGGTCTATTCTTGCCTGTTGTTTTTTAGCTACAGAAGTTGCATCAAGCTACTACAACCGTAAGCTCCTGTCTGAGTTTTGTTAGTCCCATCTGTCAGGAGCAGGGACTTAGAGAAAGTCGTAAAGGAGAGGAGGAATGCCCAGGTGCCCCTGCGTCTCTTCTGATTCCTGCCTGCTTTTGTTCTCTCTCCACTGAGTTCCGGTGCTTGCCTTTGATATTTTATCCAGAGTTCATGATCGCTATCTGCAGGAGCGTTTGTCCGGGAGCACCCTTCCGCTCCCTGAAACAGAACCAGCTCCTTCATTTTGGAGAGAAGGAGGTGGAGGTGGAGGGAAGGCCAAGGCTTGGCAGGAGGAGTGTAAGGGCCAGAAATAGACCTGTGTTGAGGCTCCCTGTCACCGGGCTACGGCAGGCTCCTAGGTCCCAGGGAAACCACATCTCAGGGCACAGAGGAGGAGCCTCCTGGACACCAGGCAGCCTTTGCGGTGACTTTAAGTGCAGCTGACTGGCCCTGGCCAACTGCCATGCGGAAGCTGAAATGATAACGATTAGCTTGTTCAAGGGTACTGCAGGAAGTTCATGGAAAATAGAATTATTAGGTAACTCTGTTTTAATACAAAAAAATTAAAATCCAAGAATAATCTCATTAATTTTCAAATAATTTAATTAATTAAAATAAATAAATAAATCAAATTAATAATCAGATAAATAATTAAACCTCCATGAATAATATACATTTTTCATGAACTTTTTGAAGACTCCTTGTTTGGGTGGATTTCAGTATTTTTGCACCCAAACACACTTATCATTTTATTCCATTTTCTATAACTTTTGGAAGTATTCTTGTATTTTCTTTGCAAGGCATAGTACTAAGTGTTCCATATACATGATCACATTTAGCCCTCTCCAAAAATCTTTAAATTAGATATAATTATTATCCTTATTTTTCAAATGAGTGAGACAGCTGAGTAGTGTGGGAATAGGACGAAGAGCTGGACTGCTTCACCTTCCTCATGACAGTGAGGTGGATGGAAGTTTCCCTTCTCCTTCCATATAGGAAAAGTGTGGGACATAGTTCATGGTAATGTAAATAGTGTGCTGCATATTTACCTTTCTGATTTCCTTGTCTGTCTGCTAGATAGGGAGAAAATCCACATTCCAGAGGCCCCTGCATGGGGGTCCAGGGGGCAGGGAGCCCTGTGCATGGAGAAGATAAGGCTGTGGTCACAGCGTGTAAGGGGTCTGCCTGTAGGTCACAGCGTGTAGGGGTCTGTGTGTAGGTCATGGAGTGTAGGGGTCTGCATGTAGGTCACAGCGTGTAGGTCACAGCATGTAGGGGTCTGCGTGTAGGTCACAGCGTGTAGGGGTCTGCGTGTAGGTCACGGCGTGTAGGGGTCTGCATGTAGGTCACAGCGTGTAGGTCACAGTGTATAGGGGTCTGTGTGTAGGTCACAGTGTGTAGGGGCCTGCGTGTAGGTCACAGCGTGTAGGGGTCTGCGTGTGGGTCTCCAGGGCTGCCAGCTCCCTGTGTGTTCTCAGGCAAAGCCCTGTGCCTGCCCTCACCCCTGCTTGCTCATCCATAGCTCACGATGAACTCAGATCTTTTCCAAAAATGGATGTGCTTCATTCTGGTAGAACTGGAAAGAAGGTGCCTGACAGCACTTTGCTTACGGCCCATGAGTTTAATGATATTCATGGAGTTGTTGCTATCTTTAGTCCCCAAACATTTTCCCAAAACTAAACTCAAATAATAAAAACCAAGAACTCTGGTTCTGAACCTGGTGTTCCTGATCGGGTTCTGATTCCTGCAGCCTCAACCCCTCCCCAGATCACCATGTCCCGCTCAGAGCCACTGATCCAGTGTTACCCTTGAAGACTGCTTTATCCTGGCTGGGTCACTGTTGTTGCTGCATACAGGCCACTCATTCTTGTAAAGGAGGAAAACTCGGAGGAGCAATGGTCACTCCCCTTGGCACCCTGTGCTGTGGGGTTGGGTGGCCAACCTTTATTTGCAACTACTTGCTCATCAGTAGCTAAGGATAAACTCAATCCAAGCACTGTTTTTTTTTTTTTTTTTTTTTTTCAGAGTTACAGAGAGGTAGAGGCAGAGAGAGAAAGACAGGTCTTCCATCCACTGGTTCACTCCCCAGTTGGCTGCAACAGCTGGAGCTGAGCTGATCTGAAGTCAGGAGCCAGGAGCTTCCTCCAGGTCTTCCACATA